CAAACAAACAAACAAACAAAATCCCCAGGAGAAGATGTAAAAGAATAGGACAAAGCTAGGCATGGGTACGGGTTCTAATGGTGGGTCTGCTGGTACAACCATATCTGACAAAAGCTACCATAGTGTTTATTCACCTTATGGCAAAGCAAACCATGAGCAAATCACCCTCCTATTATGAAGAAAGTAAGGAGAAAAAGGGTGGGAAATCTGTCTATGAGGCATTATTGAAAGTGTAAGCTGAAATAGCTTTCTTATTTTAAAGAAAATAGAACAAGCATTTAGCATCTCTATAACATTAAATATTTAGAGATATCTCTAAAACTTTCACTTTAAGAAAAAATATAAATGTAAATTACTTTGGGGATATCTTAATGATTATGTTTTTTTCCGTATTCTCAGAAGGGTGAATAAGAAAGGTGTGAATTTTCACATGTATGTATACTATTATTATTTATATTCCAAAATATGTCATTATACACAGTAACACATTTACATATACTACTGACAAGTGCTAGGCTCACCTACTTTCACACTGAAACCTTTCAAGGTGAAAGAGGAGTTTCTGATTAATTCTACAGGGCTTCATAGACATATCCCAGTTTTCAGCATCTACCTGGATTTAATCTGCTTCACAAACTTTCTGGACAACATTGTATTCACAAGTGGACATTCTTTAAGCATCTGAATTTAGTTTACATTTTTAACTGTGAGGACTCCAAGTGCTGTAAGTAACAATTAAGCTAAACAATGGTACTCTAAGTCCTAGGACCTGCTAGTCCTATTAAATAACTAGCAGATTAAGATATGAAAAAAGGACTGTTCTGAAGGCCTTTTTCAAATTCATGCACAGGTGGAAGTTATTCCTTTTCTTAATCTCCTTTTTTAAATTTTTTTTCAGGAATTAATTTTATTTTAATTCTATCACACAAAACAGGCTCTATTAGTAGAAAGCAGACATTGTTTTAAAATGGTACTGATCTGATTGTTTTAAAATGCTGATCTGCATTTTAAAAGATTAAATACATGACAGAATATTCACTCACTCCTTTTTAAAATAAACACAAAATGTATCATATTTTTAAAGTGATGGAGAGTAGATATTTTCTATGCTGAAATCCACAAAACTATGCTTACACATATACCTATTTAAAAGCAGAGCTGTTTGAAAACTTGCCTTTCAAAGAGAATGGTCTGGCACATTTTTGCCGTTTGACCAATATCTTTTAAACTGAATTATGCTTTCCTCGAACTGAACAGCACTGAAGATCCACTTCTGGACTTCTTCTGCCTATGGCAATTACTGCACTTAAAATGAGGCATCATAATGTTTAAAACTGAGAACAAAAACTTTATCTGGATGTCTCCCAACTCAAATGTTTAATTACAGAAAAAAAAAGAGGGGGGGCTAAATTAACAGATGAGAGTTATTTAGATTTGTTTTATCAGATTTTTGAAAAATGTTTATCATGTATTCTCTGAAGTTTTTAAAGTCCTTCTGTTGATTACTGATGTGCCAAATTTCTACATTTATGACTAGGGTATTTTGTTCTTCGTTCAAGACTCCCTAGCCTTTTATTGTTTCATAATTTATGTGATACATAGAAAAGAACAATGTTAATTCTGTAACTATATTTTTATTATGGATGATGTGGGAAATTTTACTTGCTGAAACTATTTTTTTATGTCAGCTAAAGTTTATCTGTAAACTTCTATATCCTTTAAAAAGTCATTATACTTGCCTGATGAGCTAGTTTGGTTCTAATGTCAATTGTTCTTCAATTTAACTTGCCGTAGCAAAGCTCCTTCTCATTGACAATATTAGCATATAGAAGCAAATATTTCTGAGAATGTAAAAGAGGAATTAAAATCCTCTCAGTGATTTTTAATTCACTGCTTAGTAAAGAATGTGTTCTACTTGACCTTACATAAATTATAGAACAGTTTCATAAAAATACAAACATGCATTACATGTTTATATCCTTTCCTTTCTTAGAATAAAAATATTTCCAACTGAATCATTAAATTTATTTTTGAAAAAGAAAATGTGAACTGATGTAACTTTTATCAGAAAAATTATTATGTTTTTATTAATAGTTCCAAACTACTGTGAAAAATTGTATTTCTTTATAATACATACTGTATCTCATTACAATTTAAAATATGCATTACATAAGATTATAACATATGTCCCACTTATCAAATTTAAATTTTGCCCACAATCAATGGAGCCTGAAAGTTGCAATAGATCCATTCAACTGCAGATTTGCTCTTTATCTGATTTTTTTTTTACCTTTTAATTAAGTTGTCATAGCAATGCATTTTTAATACTGCTGATTACTGATACTGAATACTACTATCTACAAATATAGGTTCTAGAGTTGGAGCTCCTTATAGTTTCCAGTATTCAGTTATGTTAAGTTATGACTTCATCAAATACATAAATATAAGTCTTCATGCACTAACAAAAGAACATGTGATCAGAGTTAAATCAGGCCAGACTAACATTACATAAAACCTTCAGTGGCTTAGCTGAAGACAGTCAAGGAACCACTGAGTGCCTTTTAAAAATGTCAAACGTTTCAAAAATTGGTTCAAGAACATAAGTATTTAAAGTACCACATGATTTGGCAAATGATTTTTTTTTACACAGGTGGTATTTTTGTATATCAGTACTTGTATGGAACACCAGGCAGCTTGGAGAATGTATATGAATAAATGGGAAATCACAGCACTTTGCTGAAGCTGTTTTAGCACTTTGTCTTTTCCATATAAATAATAGATAAACAAATTACACATATTTATAAGGTTTCATAAATGAGACCATACTTCAAAGACTTTGACTGTATGTCTTGATCATTTCCAAGGCACTGATAGAAAGAGACAGCATGTACATATCCATGACAGAGACATGATTTATGAGCAAATAAATGATTTGATATTTCATTCCTTTTTCATTCAGGCTATGAAGAATAATCATCATATTCGAACAATTTTAGTATTAAGGAAATTGTAAGTAAATCTAAGTGAGATGAAGAAGAAAATAGCATTGATTTCTCTGTAGGTGAGAAAGAAGGAAGGCAGAAAAAAAGAGAGATTCTTCTCCTCAAGGGATGAGGGGATTTTACCAATATGTATAAATACTTGAGGGAAGAATTTAAAGGGGATGGGACCAAACTCCTCTCTGTGGTGGCCAGTGATAGGACAAGAGTAAAAACTGAAATACAGGAAGTTTCAACTCTGTAGAAGGAAATTCTCTACTGTGAGGATGTCAGAGCCCTAGAAGAGGCTGCCCAGAGAGGTGGTGGAGTCTCCTTCTCTGGAGATGTTCACAGAGCCTTTGTGTGGCTCTGTACTACATGCTCTAGGTGATCATACCTGAGCAGGGGGGTTGGAGTAGATGATCTCTAGAGGTCCCATCCAACCTCAACCATTCTGAGATTCTGTGAAGTCTCTATAGTCTCTCTCTATATATAAGACCTAAATTTTAAGAAGCTAGTTGAGAAGAGCATTATGTGGCATATATCATCTAAATGTTCCTTCCAAGTAATTAACGTAGTTACTGAGCTAACAGAAATGTTTTAATGAAGATGTCCATTGATTTGTTATGTTTTAATGAAGGTGTCTATTGATTTAGTTATGAGAAATGCTCAGCCTCTGAATATATAACTTTTAAATTACTGAACAGTGATAAATGTTCACTTTGAAGTTTATGAACTTTCCTGGATGATATGAGAAGCGCTCCTTTTTGAAAAGCATGCAACCCAGGGAAAGATGTGCAAGTTTTATACACTAGACTTATGCACTAAAGGTATCTGTTTTAAATTATATAACCTAAGGGTTTTCAAAAATGAACCAAAGCAAAGGCTTTTCAGACAGAAGCATGGTAGCAATGGCAAAGATAAAGTTACTGAGGAAACTTTTGCTTCCTTCTCACTCCACTGGTATATGCCTTCTTCAGTAGGATTAAAGCTTGAGTATCTTGGGAAGAAAGTGGAGTACACAAGCTGAAGCAGTCGTATGAGCTATGACTTCTCAGAAAAAAAAATAACAGTAAGAAAATGTATTTATGAAAACTTTCTCCCTTTATTCAGAATGTATTGTACCCTAGCTAATGAATAAATCACTTTTTCCTTAGCAGCTGTACACGTTCTCTTTTATCTTTTCCTGACTCTTTCTCCTTTATGATTCAAAGATTGTATCCTCTAGTGTCTTCTAACCACAGATGAAGAAAAGCACAGGCCTTTCCTATTCTAAAAGATCAAGCACTGCACACACACAAGAGACAAAGATTCCTTCGATGTTTTCTTTTCACTAATATTTCTTCTTACATAATGAATACCTCTTTAAGAGTATTATCCTTATGAGTATTAACTGTCTGGTTCTGGAGGTCTGTTGTGAATTGCATGCTACTTTCCTGCCTACCATCACTGGCAAGAGGCAAATAGAAAATGAGAGATGCCACAGCCGCTTCTGGATGCTGGCAAATAATATTAGAATGCTGACATTAAGTGAAAGCTGTACAGCTATCCAGCTTTCTAGTGTACCATTAGCGGATATGGCCTCATCCACCTACTTACTTGTATTCCTGTATAAGTACAGGAATTAACTTTTGCCATAGTTCTTTATTGCTAGGCAAAATCCTTGCGATATTCTGAAATAAATGACTGAGTTAATTGCTCCCAGAATCTGTAAGCTGTTGGTTAAACAGAAGTGAATCAGTGGGTAAAGTTTCTATCCAACGCTATTTAAAAAATAATAATTTCAGATAATCAGTACTATGTTGGTAGGCAACATCAATGTGCTTCAGCAAATTAATGTCAAGAAGCAAATTAACTCTATAAATAGGTGTGTTCTACGAAATAGAAAGTGAAAAAGAAGTGGAGATGATTTGATTTAAACAATTTATTTGTTACTTTAGCCCAAGGATTTTTCCTAATACTTTTCAAGCTGCAATAAAAATTATATGAAATATTTAAAATGCAAACACCAAATTTACTTACTGTTTCTTGGATGCCAGCGTACTGCATTTAAATATGCATTACAGTAATGGAAGAGAAATTCATGCTTGGATTGGATAATTTTTCCTTGAAGCAAGGGCATCAGATCATGTCCATCAATAATTCTGTTTAAGAAAGCATTTCAGAGTCAGAAGAACAACCCAAACTTTTCCCCACCGAGTCAATATTATAACTATGCATTTTCACTTCTTAAAAAAGTAAATCTTCCTCTGATGGGCCACCTCCAGTTGGTCAATTTGGATAAAAGCCTTCAGGCACTCTTCTCCTTTGGTTTCTACATTATTTAAAGAAACATTAATTTTAAATTTTGCCATTAGCAATGATTGCTTCCTCATTCCTTTTTTCTCTGCTTTTGCTGTAAAAGTGACCAGACACGTACACCTGCTCCAGCAGTTTGGGAGTAGTCTAGTCAAAGTAACTCTAAGGAGAGATCTCTACTGTGCTGTGTTAGTGTCCTCTGAAGTAACAGTAAGAACTCTATCCAGTAAACTATGGATGTCAAAATTAACACAGACTTAGTTCTTTCACAAATGAAATGAACTATGTTTGAAATACATGTTTATAAATTATATCTATTCATACATATATATCATATACATATATATACACACATGTATTTATTTTATATGCCCACAAATATATATATATGTATATACATGCACGTGCATGTGTGAAATTCTCTAACTGCTGCTGGAACTCATGATTATGTCCTGAAGGAATCAGTCAATTTGCATTAAAATGAAGTTACAAAATAAGCAGGGCACAACATAATAGACACCATAAATGTCTTCATTAATTAAATCATTGAATAGTTGGAATTAATTGACAGGAGAGAAAATTGGAATCTACAACTTTCACATTGTTTGAATTATTAGTTTTGTAAGACATTTTACAAGATTTTACAAAAATTAGAGAAAATTTCTTTTTCCTGATTTTATGTATCCACGGGTTATTTTTTAAGAATTTTGAGCAATGTCTTGTATAAATATTGTAGAAATGCTTAAACTCTTAAATATCTTTGTTAATTTACATTACAACATGAAAATCTTTTCACATTACTGTAACTAATGTTTAAAAACATTGTAGGACACGTACTACCTTTACTTTTTTAAGCCATAAACCAGGTATATTGGCAGCAAGTAGATGCAGCAACATTATTATGAGTAGCCCTTTTCTCAAAGGATGGGCAGGAAAACATGCTGATATATCTATTACACTGTTGTCTAGTAATTCTGATTTCTGATTATATTTTTAGGATTGATTCTTGCCTGCAGGTCCAATTAAATTAGGAACTTTCCCACTTTAAATGTGCGTGTTCTGTTGCCTGGATAATGCACTTTTTCTCACTCCTATAACCTTAGTCACTATCACACCGAAAGCAGGACAGTTGCATGCCTATTGCACGCCTTCTCTTCTTCAGCCTCTTGATGAGGAGAGGGATGTTTCCAGTAATATGTTTTCAGTATTTCTGCCTTTCCACATTTGCTAATTATGGGGCCGAGAGGTGGGGAGAAGGAGGAATATCTGAGGGAGTTTTTGTTTTGTTTTTTTTCTGATGACCGATTTTTCATCTTTAACAAGGCATACCTCCTCCTTCCCTCTTTCACTTCCCCTTCCATTAATTAAATCCTAGCCCTAATTGTTTCTGTTATTTCACAAGAAGAATTCAGTGGCATGGTAAGGCATGATTGAGCTGCTAGATAAAAGATGCTTCAGGATAGTCCATGACAAGCCACTCTGATCTACACTGAAGCAGTGATTACAGCACCTAGTCTACACAGAAGAATCAGAGTGGAACAACTTGTAGGTGAAGGTTACACAAGATTGGGATTTTTATTGAGATCAAAATAAAACAACAGTGCTTAGCCTTCACTCAAGGAATATGAAAATAAAGTGCACAACATCTGCCACATTAAGGACTATCTGAACTGCTTAGGTCTGATTGACTTACTGCTTGCCCCTACAAGCTCAAGCCTGACTATTTTTTCATGTCCTACCCTTGTCTTGCCCTGCCATTTCCTTTAGACATTCAATGAATCATCATCAGCTTCCCACTGTTTTTTTCAGGGATTCTTGATGCTTTCTGCTCAAAAACTGTGAGTAGTAGGTGTGTTCAAAGCTTATACACCATGGCAGATTTCTTCAGATATTAGACTTGGATTGCAGAAGTTTAGGTGAGACTTAAGATAATTTGTTATTGAGTCTGGGAAGCTCCTTAACAAGCTAAAACAAAAGTCATGCAAATGTCAATATAGCACCTTATAAATTTTAAAAACTAGTGAGTTTTCTTATTAGACTGTAAGAAACTCTGTAAGGAATTAATTTGCTTCTTGGTAGTCAGAATAAATCCTAGCAAAAAACCTAGCTAGCATTTTTATGTGCCTTGGTATAATGTAAAAGTTTGACCATAACACTAAGGTTTAACTCATAAAGTTTAAAATAATTTATACTTGGTAGTTTCTAAAATGCTCACTCGTGCAGAATAGTATATTTTTGATATGTTAATTTCAATAAATAATTTTAGGCCATTTGGCAGTATGTTCTTTTTGATGGTATACTTTCATCCCCTTGATGTCTCCTGCAACAGGTAGTGGTATCAATATGCAAGAGTAAGGAGAAAGCAAAGATTAGTAATCTCTAATATACAATATATACTGGTAATAGTGCTCCGTACAATATTCAATGGCTGCTAATATCTAATTTTAAGGATTTTTGCATTTGTATTCATAGGAGAGAACCTGAGAATGAAGAAGATATATATATATATATATCTTAATCGCTGCTTATCTTGCCATGATGCCCAGGTTTAGCATTTGTCTTTTAGTTGCACTATCCCCTTAGCTCACGATTTTAGTATTACATCGAGGAATGGAAAAGAAGTTGGAGTAAGGATTGATGAAGAGATATAGAAGAAAAAACTTTTAAGGTTTTACATTACATGAAGAAAATAAAAACACCAAATTGAGTAAGTGATATGATTTAGTCAAAAGGCCTGTCTGAAGATTCAGCTCTATTACATACAGTGTTCCTATAAAATGTAACAGAATGTCAATATGAGAGACAACATACTATTACAAGCAGAAAATAATTATAATTAAAATCTAGTTTTTCTATTCATGTTCACATCTCTTTTAATGATCAGAATGTAAAAAATGATCATCAAACTTTCTACAGAACACAGACAATTACAGACAATACCTGTCGGAGGGTAACTCTGCTCCTGCAAGTTTGATGACAGTAGGGAATATATCCATGTTACTTGTTGGTTCATCAATATAGGTACTGGCCTCTATCACTCCAGGCCAAAGGAGAAGGCCTGGCACACGAATACCTCCTTCCCAGTTTGTTGACTTGCCACCTGAATGATGAAAGTGAAAATTACTGCTTTCTTCTTAAAAATAAATTCCCCTCAAAGATTTCCCCTCCATTTACGAATACTAAGCATGTTACCTATCTAGAATCATTAAATGTATTTTTTAAATTAGGTAGGCTTACCAATCTAGACTTTGCATGTACAGTCAGTATCATTCTCAAGCAAGTGACCTAAAAGACATTAAACAGAGCTAACAAAGTATATTTAGTTTGCAAACAATATTAGCTATCTTGGAGGAAGATTAATATGCAAATTTGATCTACATAATGTGTGACACATATAAGCATATTTGACTAAAACCAGGAATGAAAAATAACTCTTGGTATTGCCAGAAATATGCGGTATGACCCCAAAAAGATATATATGATATTTTATTAAAAATAATGCTTAAAGATTTAAAAAATGGAAAGAAAAAGGAGATTATTTTAATTATGCTACTGAACTCTAATTAAATGCATAAGGAAGAAATCTGCTACGATGATGATATATTTTATGAAGATCTTTTCTATTTCTAAACCAACAGAGTTGTATCAAAAGCATTATCAGCTAATTGCATTCAAAATTAATTTGCAACCAATTCTTTTTCTTCTACAATATCCATCACTGCCCGGTCCTCCAGATGTTTTGGAGAAGGATGTTTATCATATTGACAAGTTCTCCACTGTTACTTAATATGTGATTGACACAACTCTGTATGAAAACTATTGTAAATGCTGTAATTAATGTCTGTACAGTAATGTGATTTTGTAGAGCACTCCAGGTTCTTTTAAAACTTAATACACTTGTGAAAAAAATCTAGGAAAAAGAAGGGTTTGGGGATGTGGTTAGGCCTAGCTTTGGGCCGGGCACTTTGAGACTCTTTCACATATATGTTTGAAAGAAGGGAAAACCGCATTGAACTCCTGCCACAAACTGAATCCAACAGCAACTCCTGTCTCAAAAAGCAAGCAAACAAACAAACAAAAAAACCCCACAACATTATGAGCCTGTTTTTCCTGTACCATCCCTTTTCAAGTAAAAAGACATAAAAGAACAAAATATTACAACAAAATACTTAAATAGTTCTGTCTCCTTTGCTCCTTAGATCTTCAAAGAACTACACACATTGGAATCTCATCAGTGTCAAGCCTTGGCCTTTCCATGTATATTGTCTTACTTTCCAATTCTTTCACGATCTTTTCTGTTTCAGAGTTGGGATTCAGAATGGACTTTTTTTTTTTTCTCCTGCTTGCTACAGGTTTTTCACTTGACAGAAACAGTTCATAAGGTTAAGAGGCAGCTTCTTGCAGACTACCATATTTTGTATAGATCTTTATCCATTATATACACAGTTTTGTGGCTGAAAAACCTTTAGCTTATGATTCTTTGCTTACCTTTTAATGATTTTTATCAGAATTTATAATATGGACTAGTCAGGCATGCATAATTATGTTGTCTGATATTAGAAAACTAAGGCTTTTTATTATAGAAATCCTTGCTTATATTGCTGTTGGAAAGCACTGCCAAGTTCAGATTTCAACAAGACCATCAGCCTTTTACAGCAGTCTTAAGAACTGATTCCTGTCATAGCATTCAATGCAATTCCAGTCTCACCATGAAGCATTTGTGTACTATCTATCATGCCTATTCTTTAAGTAAGCAATGGACTGAATATATTATTTTTGTCCTCATTCTTTTTAAAAATGTGATTTTCAATACAAATATCTAAACAAAATTCAGATTTAATTCTGTAACGGTGTTATTCAGTGAGGTTTGAAATTCACATCACCTAGTAGACAGAAGTGTTCAACCAGCAGTAATTAGTTGTTAATACTGTTAGCTAAAGTCCCGGGCAGATGTCAAGAGACCCTGTGTGTCTTCTGTAGAAATTATGACTCTACCTATCCATGTACAACAGTCATTAGCATTAAAAAAGTTAGGCAAGTATTATGCATTACCCAGTAGACATGTGTCGAGGTTAGTATCAGAACAGTGTTATAGATCACAGAAAATGCTATTGAGGGGGTGACATTTTAGTTTGAATAAAACTCGCAGAAAAGTATAAGGCTATACAAGTACAGATATCCTCAAACTAAGATGCTTTTGTTGTGAAAAATTAGTCCAGGGAGAGGATTAATTAATCAGCTGGATCCCTGTTCTGTGCAAATTTCTCACAGATGTTGGCAGGATAATACAGACAAGCAGAAAACTCAAAGAGCTGATATAAACTATAGGTAGCATTAAGTGTGGAGTTATTTTTATTTGTGTACATCTGTCTCTACCAAGTAATAGTGTGGTCCAGATGATTGGATCGTTTAAATAAATTCTGTCTTTAGTGTTGCATTGCTCTCTGTCCTGTGCAATTGGAAGATAGTAATTTTAAGGTAAATGGTGAATCCCATTCCCTCATGTGGTCCATTTCTTAAAACCAGATATTGGATCATTTTCACAGTTCCTAGGTTGACATTACATTTTTCCTGAGTCACGACAGTATACCAGCAGAAAACTTCCGCATTATGCAGGAGCAGAGGGAGCACACAACGAAATCTGTGTTCCTACTGTGAAGTACAAAAAGCAAAATGGACTCCACAGCAGGGCTTTTGCCTTGCTTATGTCTCCAAAGAAGCTGTTTTCCTTTGGAAGACTAACTAGAGGATAATTCTTGGATATCTCTTAGTTAGGAATATCAGGGAACTAGGGCAGGAATGAAAGGCCGGTGTGGGAGACTGTCTTCTCTTACCTTCATCTCTCTTAAAACTGACTAATGACATCACTACAGCTGTTTAATTGTTTAACCATTTAATTAACCATGATATGATTATTGTTCTAGTTCTCTGACTTCTTTTTTCCTTTGAAAAATAACCCATGATTTCAAAGAAATACTTGGAACATTAGGTAAAAAAACTAGAAGGCAAATAAAAATTCTGCAAAAGGTTATTATTTAATGATAAAATCCTGCTATGTGTTGAGATCTGGCTAATTATTTTTGTCTTTTGCTTGGACCTCACAAGGCTGAAACAGAGAAAAAGCAGCAATTTGGGTGTCTGTATGTCTGCAACCCGTAGACAGCATAGCTACGTATTACTTTTATTCTCTTAATTTTCTTCTAATAATGTTTTTAAAAGAGGATAAAACACCTCAGGCTGTATTTTCATATTTGGTCATCTATGTGTCTGAGTAGATGCACTTTTCAGTCTCATATTTAATAATAGTCTATGTTCACCTTTCCTGAAAAAAAAAAACAAAATCTGCAGGAACCGCAGAGTACAGACATAACTCTCTGCAGTCATCCACAACATGATCCCAAAGTTCCATTTTCACTTCATCTCATATCTTAGTTAAAAGAATATGTTTCACCTCCTATCCATTAGCTTTAGAACTCATGACCCATTCAGTTAGGTGTAACAGCCAAATGTCTCAAGCAGGATCTGTATCCTTTCCACTAAACACTTCATAAATTCATAGATAGGTGGTGTTCCTAAGTTAGTGGTTCAAGGCACAATTAATATATAGCTGGCTACATATCTAAAAGAAACTGGCAGTTGGAATTACAAGAGATACAAAAGCACTCAACGGAAAAGCTCATAAGTAACAGAGCGAGATAATGTCAACAAGTGACAACAAGGCAGGGCTTCTAGTATCTGCATATAAAGTTGTGAAATGGCATGAGGAGGCAAATGTTGTCAATGTGTTCAGCAGTTGCTGCTATGACGTATGAAAAAGGAGAGGCTCATGTTATAACATACTGAAGCTAATTCAAGAAACAAGTCATTAAGGAATGAAATATAAATCACAGAATCACAGAGTGGTTGAGGTTGGAAGGGACCTCTAGAGATTACCCAGTCCAATCCCCCTGCTCAAGCAGGGACACCTAGAGCATGTGGCACAGAGTGGCGTCCAATATATGGTATATGGTATACCAATATATGGTATGGTATATATGGTATACATGGTATATATGGTATATATAAACGATCACAGTATAATTGGATGCAACATATCAGGACTACCAAAGAAGAATACAATGGTTGACATTCATCAAAATATATTTAGAAATCCTTCAGACTAGTTATCTTCAATTTTCTGTTAATTCCATGGAGAGAAATAGGTACATCTGATATTCTATTCATTTTATCCTACAGTAGATATGCAAAGTAGTTCAGAAAATCCTAACTTTACTTCTACTCCAAGAAGAGTAGAAGAGCTCTCCAAGGAGAGCTCCACTGATTAGCTCAAATGGAGATATTAAAATTGCAGGTGTTATACTAATGAAAAAGCTACAGAAAAGACCTAAGAAGTCAGTGCAGGTACTGTGGATATCAAATAAGAAAACAATGTCTCAACAATCCATCTCTCTTAAAAGAAAAAGAACATGATCTCTTTTAGGAAGAGGTTCAATTAAATACAATCCGTTTCATATTTCAGTGTGGAAATGTTTATTTTAAGAGAATAAATATGGCCATAATTTGTGTTTTAAGTTATAATGAATTATATGTTTTTAATAAACAGGTTGCAGGAATTAAGTTCATGAAGCCTCAGGCAGTGATTGTCAGAATCAGTTTTCTGAGAGAAACTGATCACTTAAAACAATTAGATAACCAAGAAAAATTAGATTATCATGCATGCACTAAGGAACTCAGGAAAGAGATACTTGAATTGTTAAAAAAAATTCTTACTGAAAACAGCTACTATGTTTTTGGTTTTGATGCTGTATATAGATTTGAATATTTGAAAGGTCTTTGACAAGAACCTTCAGGAAAAATTTCTTGAGCATTAATCATGGGATAGCATACAAAAGGTTGCCATTAATCAAATCTGACTAAAGGGTAGGAAAAAGAGGATAAAATAAACAGCTTGTGTATGTCACTTGGCAAAATAAAGTTAACAGCAAGTTACCTTGATGCTACTATGTACTAAGTCTCTTACTATTTTAATATATTTACTTCAATTTTGGAAGAGGACAAAGTTGTGGAATAGAAATCCGTGGATAGGACACAGTTACATAGGGTGAGAATGGAGTATGAGAACAGACTTCATACCAAGCTGGATGAATGCAAATTCTAATTCAGTATAAATGTCTGCAAGGTAAAGCACATTCAAGGTAAAAAGAATTGAAGACTGTCCTATTATATTATAAAATTAACTATGCATTTAAGAAAAAAGAAGCTAGGTAAAGACTTATATTTAATACACATCTATAATTAACAAGATAAAAAGATTATAGACAGTATATTGAATGAAATGGAGAATATTAAAATGCAATAGCAAAAATGGATAGTGAAACTTCACAGCAAATACTGCAAACAGTATTTGTCAAGCCATTTTAAAAGGATATACTGTGCAATTAGAAGCAGTTGATGAGAAAAATAACAAGAACATGAAATTAAGGGTGAACAGTGACTAGACAATTTTTTTCTGAATGAGGCGTTTGGGACAATGGAGACAGAAAGTCTAAAAAACAAAGTTTAGCTGGGGAAGGTATAAGAAGGTACCTTATAAAAAGATATAGGAAACTATTATTCCTACCTCAGCGAGAAAAGAGCACTGAATTTTAAGAAGATGGTCAATGAAAATATTAAAAGAGACTTCTCATCTATATTATGGAATTCATTGCCAAAGAAGTCATATTATGCTAATACCTTAGAAAGACTTAGTGGGCTCTGTTCTTTAAGAGGCAAAGTTATAATAGCTAGGGCTAAGGCCCTCTGTAGACTCTAAATTGTCAGGGTTCAAGTCTTAAACCAAGGTCATATTATTTAGGATTAGGAGGAGATCTTCTTAGGGATCTTTATTCATTGAGTCTTTGGATCCTAACAAGTGCCAGAAAAGAAAAAGACACTGGGGAAAAAAAAAAAAAAAAAGGAAATAAAAGAAATCCTTACACTTCCATATTACTATATAACATCTTCTGAAGAACAAAAAGAGTACTGAAGAGAGAAGCCAGGCTCAGTGCTGACAGTAACTAGTTAAACACTATGTTAATTCCAGATTTTAATTTCAAGTGATATTCAAATTTATTGTGACTATTCCATAGTCAGAATCAAGAGCAGTAAAAACCACAGACAAAAATGACCCTTTTTTTCTTTTTTTGCATTCAGTTTTACGGTGCTAGCCTAACTCTCCAAACTCTTCTTAGGTTTTATTATTGCTACAGATTTGGCTGGATATCAAGACAAATTAGTGAGTTCAAATTATGAAGATCTGTTGAGAGCTTTTGATTTAGGACAGAGCCAATTATTGCAGGATATACTGCTCCAGCTCTCACAAGAGGGTTAAGTGGCTCATCGCATATTTGCATTCATACAGAGCTCATACACACAAAGGTAAGTAATTGAGATCATCTAGCAGAGGCAAGGAGAAAAGGATACGCCTGTCTCCCAGTTTTGCAGACTACTCATCAGATGAAGTAAATCCCCTGTGAATGCACAAGCAGTGTAAAGACTGACCCGCTTTTCTTAGGCCAACTGTTCTATCCATGCCTGAGACTTCAGAACATCACAGGCCTGGTTTTCATTAGATCAGTCAAAGATGTACAAAGATTTAATACATCTCATTGTACTTGATTGTTGATATGTAGAAAACCTTATGTATTAAAATTAAAATTGCTAACTGCATTATTAATTGGTCACTTCCACTTCTGCCATTTTGAAGTGATGCACAGCATACCTGTCCCATTAAACTGAGGAATGACTTGGAGATGGAATGAGTGGAAGAAAAGATTGAAAGTATACTAAACTGATGGTATAGGTCTTTATTTTTTTTTAATTTCATTAAGAATGTTTCTCAATGCAATAATAATTATTAATACAATAGCTTTGTTTCTTATATATTGATTCTTTTCTTTCCCAAAGTATACTGCAGTATTTGCCAGCATAGCTTAAGTGACAACTGTAAACCATTACATAACTCATTTTTTTTCCTTAGCTAACCCTATCAATCAGATTTTCATTAATTCAGCTAACACCAATAGATTGAATTGTTCTTTTTCTTTAAGTATAAATACCAAATTTTGCAAGGGTTAATAGAAAAGACTCCATTCAATCAAACCTCCTCAGGAAAACACATTCCCTAATGTGTGTGTTTTCTTTTCTCCCCGTCATCACTTGTCTTGTATCTCATGTCTGACATTCTCTAATGCAAATACTTTTTAGAGCTTCTAAAATACTTCAGGCTGAGCCTACAGTTACAAAACTGTAACCATATGGTTTCTTAACAACATAAAGTGTTATGCAAGGCACATATGTACAGGACACGTTTTACTCAGGTGTTAGACCCTGTAGCCCAAGGGGGATCTATCCGATAGTGTGTAATCTCACAGTTTTGGCATGACCTGTTTTGCTTGTGTTGCATTTCTATTCTCACTATTTCTATTGTAGCTCCCTTAAAATCTAAGGGTCAGAAAGCTATAAACTGATAAAAGCTATGGAGACTCTTCATTTGAAAACATCACTTTATTGTTATTGCTTGCTATTTATGGCTCTACATTTTTTCCCTTTTTGCAGATTTGCATATGATAAAAACTGGGAGGAGTGGCTCATATCCTAGAGGGAGGCTGTGCTGCCATTTGGAGGGATCTGAACAAAATGGGCAGTAGGAAACCTGAGAAGTTCAACAGAGAGAAGTGCAGAATATTCAGTACATTTGAAAGGAAAGGCTTTGCCTTTGTTTAGATTCAGAATGGCAGTCATGAGAAGCTTATTATTAAGATGAAAGGAGTTCAGAACTTTTAGCCACAGATATATTAAGCATTTAAAGCAAAAACAAGTAGTTTCAAGAATATGCTTTAAAAATCAACAGAGAACATTCACCTTTATAAATGCCATTATACCCTCCATGGACTTCTCCAGAACTAGAGATTTCTTCAAGGTGAGCCCCATGGTCAGATGTAAAGTATACAAGAGTTTTGCTGTTCAGATTACTTTTCTCCAGAACATCCAGAATCTGTCCTAAAACAATAACAACACAGCTTTAATGTCTTTGGGTGATTTTATTTTTATTTATTTATTTATTTATTTTTGTTATCTGTGATGTGTACAAATATATTTTGTCCCTATGACTTTTTAGTTTACATGAAAATATTATTATACATTGCCAAGTGTCACTATGCAACATACAGCAGGGGACAACTGCAGAAAGTCTATAGCAATCATGACTATGGTTCCATTGCTGCGGGGTTTCTGGAAGTATAAAAATAAGAAGATTTGTGCACATCAGAGAAAAGGGCTGATCCACAGAGAGCCAGTGACCTTTGGAAGCAGTTGTTCTCAATCAAGGAAACCCCACAGCAAGAAGATTCAAACTGTTGAGGATATCTGAAAGACTCACAGCATGCAGAACAGATCTGGAGGTGAAGCTGGGGGGTAAAGCTTTGCTGCCTAGCAACCTATGGAGGCAGCATGGCAAATATCTCAGTGTGAATGTTAGAATAAAGCTCTCCAAAAGAAAAGTGAATTAATGAATGGAATGCCTCTAGAAGTCTGCATGATTTCATTATCTAACCTAGTAATCAGTCACTAATTTCTGGTCATATATGAACAACTAAGCAACAACTAAGCTTAGAATGTGCAAGGTAATAAGGACACACATGTGCACATATTTAAAAGAAGAATCCATATGGATATGCTGTGACACTGCACCGTAAGCTCACATTTCATTCGCACAAAAGGCTCCTTAACACTTCTCTGGCACTGAAGAGGAGCCTTGCAGTGCACATAAATTACTTTTAAACCCATTTAGAGAGTCTGAATTCTTTTAAGAGAGCTTCTGTATGAATGAGAGTGAAACCACTCTTTGTAACTTGCTCCAGTGAATTTTATACTGATTAGGAATGTAAAATTATTGCTCCTGGAAACTCACCAAAGTATAAGAATGTGCTTCCTCACATCACCTTCCAAATGAGTTTTAACCATGTCCTTCAGATATCCCAGAATGTATAAAAATAATTCTGTCTTCACAACCATTTTTTTCTTTATCCTTTTTACTTAAAAATCCAAGGATGGTCCAATTTGAATACTAATTTTGATTTGTTCATCTGTCCACTAAGAATTAATTCATCAGCTGATGCATAATTACGGTGTCAAACAGGATAAGAACTTGGAAATACAGAGCCTCTTTCATAAAGAAGTAGCTTTCTTCAACAATTTTCCGATCATCATTTTAGTTGCTATGCTCCTCCTCTGCATAAGGAGTAGTTATCTCACCCTGCTTCTAATCACTTGTCTACTAATGCTATGGTATTTGAAAATTGCTTTTCTAAAAAAAAAAGGTTGACCGCCTTCATTTCTTATCAGCTCAAATGACTGGGTAAGGGAATGTCAGCAGTTAAGTGTTACTTATTGTTCTAGTTTGTAAACTAGGAGCAAATAAGAAATTTAAGAGTAGGAGAATTTGTTTATCTAAATTTTGAAGCCTTGTGGGAGTTAAAATTTCCCAACAGAGCTGAGGAAAATCTGTTTCAAAGGCTGACATTTTAAAGCTGTTGAGTTTGAGGGAAATTTGGGTAAAAGCTCATGCATACCCATCTGGCAAGTCATTTGCTTGCATTTGAAGGTGGACTAAGTGCCAATCGAGAAAGAGGCAATTTATCACTGGCTTATGAAATTGTTTGGACACTATACTTACTAAGTGGCAATGATGTCTCTTGGGAAGATGGCAATAGTGAGAAAAAAATGGAGCGTATAGGCAAGGTAGGATATCAATCCCCAGAATTGGGGGGAGGAGGGATATATAATTTTATGGTGCTCTGATTTTAAAAATAATGATATTGTACAAATAAATAAATATTTAATGATATGGCCATCTTATGCACAGTTTTCATTGATTAACTTGGAATTTTTAATGCATCTAGCATGTAAAATAAAATGAAAATAAAACAATCCCACTTACAATACATCATATTAAATAAACATATGACAAAAGACCATCAATGTTTCTAGTGATCAAGGACATCTGCTGTCATTTCATAGTGACTATTTTGATTTCTTAACTAATCTGGTAAAAAAACAGAAGCAATGAAAAATTTCTCACCCTATCACAATTACTTAAGTAAAAGTCATTATTATCTTTTTTTTTTTTTTTGAAACAAAGTGGAGTAGGTTGACTCAGCCCAAGAAAGAATGAATAATTCTAACATTCAAAGAGTACCTGTTTCAGAAAAACAAAAAGATGCATAGACAGTCTCATCCAAAGCCTGTTGATGTCAGTGGCAAAATTTCATTTTATTTTATTTTATTTTATTTTATTTTATTTTATTTTATTTTATTTTATTTTATTTTATTTTTTAACAGAAGGTGGTGCAGCTACATAAGGGCTAATTAATAAATGACAACTTATTTTAGCAACATTTTTTTTCTGTAAATATGGTGGTAATTCAAATGACACACTGCTATCAGAGAATGGACATACAATGCAGTCACAGAAATGAAGCAAGACTTCTATTTTCAACACTGACACCTTTTAGAATGAACACTGTATAAATAAGCAATAAAGTGTGTGCTACCACGCGATAAGGCCTATTAAAGTGCATTTGAATGATGTGGATACCGTTAGCACAAGCAATATATTAACATATTAGCATTTCTAAATGGTAACTAAACAGAAGAAAAATACAAATAATGTATTGTGGATCTCTGTGAACAGATACAACTCACACACTGAGTACTATATCAATTTTGAAAGCAAATACTACAAAACCAGCAAAATACATTTTTTTCCTGTTTTTTTTTAATAGTAGATGAAACTTTTTTTTCCTTAACTCTTCCATTATTGCTATGTCTACAGATTTCAGTGAGACTTCAGAGTTAAGCTGTTTGATAAACAACTATTCCAAGGAAATACCAGTCAATAAACAGGGAGATTAATCTAACCTACTGTAGCTGTGCACCCTTGGATGGGATTAATCACAACTGTGAAATGGCCTTTCTTTCTAATCTGTTGGTAGAAAAGATAGGCAACTTGTTCAAAAATAGATACCTTTATATTAGACATCAGGGAAGGTAAGAAGAATCCCACACAAAGTTTTGGATATACAACAGCAGAAGCTTTAGCTCTTTTTAACAGCATATTGAAAAAAAAAAAAAAAAAGGAGTCTCAGTAAGAGAAGATGGCAGAACTGTATTGCATCACCCATAAATTATGACTTGAAGTGCATCATATGTTATTTGCTCTTCCATGGGCCTTCATCTGGCTTAACCTCCTCTTCAAAACCATTTCTGGTATCAGGAAGCAATAAAACATTAAAAGGACTTTGTGGAAGCAAAGAGCTAATACATTTTATCAATCTGTAAAAGGAATAAGCCAAAACACAAAGAAAATGGCTCTGTTAAAGCAATAAGGGTTTGTTATCCCCAGTGCCTAAAACTAATAATAAAATGGAACGACTCTTTACTGAAAAGATTTACTTGAAAGCTATACACTAAAAAATGAACAGCAGTACTGATGTCTATGGGTGCCACTGTTCACTTTTTTTTTTTTCTGATTTAAACAAAACAGATTTTGAAATGTAACATGAAAAGCAAAGTCAATTTAATACTGACGGACCTGTATAACTTCTAAAACTATTGAGCAATTAGAATTGAAGATCAAATTTCCACATTTTGCCATTCTGGTAATGTATATCCAACCTAGCCCAAACTTAGGTGGTAACAGAGAAGAAAACAAAGGAATGAGATCACTCAACACTTCCCTTGTCTTTGCAACTTTATATATGTATATATATAAATGAGAGCATTAAGATGGTTTAGGTAAAGATCCCTCCAAAATATGCAACTGTCAACATTCTGCTGTCCTCTTGTTCCTCAACCTCGCTATGTGAAATTATAAAGAATTCTTTCTCTCTTAAAGTGACGTTGCCAATTTGTATAGTGTCAGCCATGTGACAACTGAGGAGCAGTGAGGAGTGACTGCATTCTTTGGGAGGAAACAGCAAAATGAACGTTATTCAACTTGTTGAACACAATATAAATGCTAAGGGAATAAGCCTTTCTTTTGCTGAATAGAGTTTCTGAGGTTTTGAACTACATAAGATTCACTCTATATTCGTCCAGGTTAGGAGATAGGGATTGTAAACTATGGAAATTCATTTGAGAAAAAAAGGCAAAAACATGGATAAACAATGAAGTTTACAAATGTGTTAGCAACTTAGAAATTTCTTCACAGAGTTAAGCAAGCAAGCATATGAAATAATGTTTTTGTTTAATAGATTAGCTTATTGTCATTTGAAATCAGTAAGAGAAATGTTAAAAGTAAGCACTAACTTAAAAAAAAAATGAGTCTTGCTGAAAATATTGAGAAAAAACTCTAGAATCTAGAAAACCTCTTTCTAATCTAGGTATCAGGACACAATAGTCTCTCTGTTCTCACTTAGAATACTCACTTTGCCTGACTCAAAGAAACAACAGGATTCTGAAGGCAGGTGTTAATGTTAAGCAGTTCTAACAGAACATTGATGGACATGACATGGATGATAAAGGGAGTTCCAAAAAATAAAACCTTCTTAACCCATTCCAGAAGCCTTTCACATGACACTATTGTACCTGGAAGATTGGAGGAATCCTGAGACAAGTAGGAGGCAAAGAGTAATTTAGGAAGATGAGCTATCGCATCTCTAGCTGCCTAGAGGAGACATATTATTTTTGGCTAATCTCTCAATTTCAGTATTACCTGCTGATATTTCTACTACTTTTTGTTAATATTGCTAACCAGAACACGATTAACTTGTCTTCGACTGTGGGGGTTTAGTTCTGCTACTGGCAACCTAAGGAATGTTATGAATATGTGCATCAACTTCTAGAAATTATACCTATATGCATACGCACCTGGAGGCCAACATTTCTTGCAGAGCAGGTATTGATGCCATTCAGCTATACAGTCACCACCTCCCTCTATTTTTCAGAACCATTGACTCTTTAATGCACTGATCTGATTACAAAAATCCAATGACTAAAAC